GTTATGCTGTGTATGTGACCTTCCAAAGGCCCTTACCAAATTGCTAAGAAAAGCAAGCTGCCATGGGCATGAGATGGTATGAGAGATGTGTTTTTTCACTGATTAAAGGACAAGCAACAAAGCATTTTGCAGGTGAGGGGGATTATTAACAGGATCCCCGTGCTGGGAGGTGGACTGCTGGACAAATCTGATGATACTGGATGATGTACTTGCTGATGATATTGGTTTATTCGAGGTTGTGCAAATGAAAACCAGTTGCAGAAACCTCACAAGCACTGGGAGGCCAGATGATAAATTGGGAGCTGAGATTCAGCGTCTGTTACAGCAAATTAAAGTGCCGGGAAGAAAGCAACTCTAAATCTCTGCTAAGTACTGAAGCTGAGTGAGGTGCTGTTGTTGGAGATGTGATCTTAGAGCTATGGCAGATAGGGCCACAAAAATGGCAGAAACCCCACTGCCCAGGAGGAAATAAAAAAATAAAAAATCTTTTTCCCTCCAAGTGACAAACTGAATATTAGGAATTGTTAGGAAGTGAAAAAAACAAACAAACAAACAAATCCTATAATTTCACATGTGTAAAATCCCACTGGGGAACTGTGTCCAGTTTCTAGACTTCCCAGTCAGCAGGAAAGACACTGACAAATTGGAGTGGGTCCATCGGCACCATCAGTATGCTTAGGAAACTGGAGCACATGAAATATGAAGAGAGGCTGAGGGAATTGGCTTTGTTCAGTGTTAAGAAGAAAAGGCTGAGTGGAGATTTTATTGTCACCTTTAACTATCTTAAAGGAAGGTGTTGAGAAGTTGGAGCAAAGCTCTTCTTGGAGTTGCACAGAGAAAGGACCAGATTGAAATGTACACAAGCTGCAAGAAGGGAAGTTCTGGCTAGATGTGTGGGAAACAAATTCCCACTATGTAGGTGGTCAAACACTGGGACAGTGACCCAGAGAGGCAGTGGAACTGCCATCCTTGGAGATACCCAAAACCTAAGTGAAGACCCTGAGCAACCTGGGCTAAGCTGGCCCTTCTCGGGATGTAGGATTTGAGTGGCGACATCCAAAGGTCCCTTCCAACCGAAACCACTTACAATACTAGGATTGGTTTGCATGTCTGTAGATTGTGGTGCCTCTGCACCTTGAAAAATGAGTGCTGGTTGAGTTCCCTTTCTTCCCCCTCAAAAAGGACACCATGAAGCTGGAAAAGTGTCAATGAAAGGAGTAAGGGTGCTGGAAGCCATGGAACAATGCTAACGTGAGAAGAGATGGATTTGAGCCTGGAGGAGAAGGGAGGGATGTCTGCAGATCGACGAGCGCCATGAGGAGATGAGCAGAGAACGATTATCACTTCATAACATGAGATCAAGACAGCATTTGGGGAAATGCCTGAGGTTCAGGTTCACCACAAACCAAGAGAACGTTCTGGGGAAGTGCCACGGTACATTTGCCCTATTCTCAATTTTTTTTCTACAAGTGTTTGTGAGTGGCTTCATCAGGAAGACAAGACTCTTCAGTGGAGCCCATGCTGTCCTGCCAAAGCAGGACCCAAGTCCTAGTGAGCCTGGGGGCAGGCTGCAGAAGACCCAGACCCAAAAATACCTTTGCAAGGCTTGACTCAGCCTGATATTTTGTATAAACTGGTGTATAGGGGAAACAGCGAGCTCAATCCTTTCTCTGGCCCCAAACGCTGCTTGCATGTGTTAGCACATATCTCGCCTGCTGACACGTTCCTGTAGGTGAAGTCAAGATTAGTAAAAGTGTGTGAGATGGAAGCTCACGGTGGATAAAGGGAAAAGCTGCTGCCAGGGCTCCTATGCCTCGTAGCTCTGAAAACTTCTCCCTTCCCCATCTGCTTTTTTAACTGGCAGAGCACTCTGCAATGTCTGTATTTTCATCCGGAAGGTTGTGAAGGGCAGAGGGAGGAGGAGGAGAACTGGTGGTTTTCGCAGCGGTTGTCATTCTCTCCAGTGGCAAGCTGTATTTGTCTTTGGGGAAAGGTGACTATTGCGTGCTTTCGTGACATCACGTTAGATCTTGGAATATTTAAAATAATAGGAAAAATGCATTTCCCATTGACTTCTTTGGGAGCAGCTTGCACATTTCTGCAAGCAGATGGTATGATGTATATTAAATTATCACTTATGTCGGGGGGCTTATTTTAAGGATGGAAGTGTCGTCTCTTGGTATTTGTGCCAGAACTGCTCATCCCCAAACCAGGATTTTTGTATCCTTCTAGCTACCCTGGAAAATATTTGCAGAAATGTGCCCTCCCCAAAGACAGGTAAAAACTGTATCATCTTGTTCTTCTTTTGCATCTTTTAATGAAAAGGGAAAGCAATTTTTAAAATGCCCTTTGGGTCCAAATTGGCATTAATTGAACTAAAGGCAAATGTCTCCCGGGCTTCCTTGTAAATCCCCTCCACTTGGGTGAAGGTTCACATTGACAAACAGTGACAACACGAATAAGTAGTGCAAACATGACTAGTAAAGACCAAGAAGTCTAAAGCAAATGCTGAGTCATCAACAATATTTATAACCTCCCATGCTCAGAATAGAAGATACCAAGGGACTGCAATTACTGAGATATGACAAATGTTGAATTTTTAATGACTCCAGCTGTAGGACACTTCATCGTCCAAGAACATCGCTGCTGAGAGTCATAACCTTTGTTTAATCCACATACATTCGTTGTAAATTATGCTCTGTCCACTTTGTCCATAAAAAGTATTGCTGTTTGTGGAGATATTTTACATCAATGAAGGCCATGATGCTCTTGAAGGCTTTTGAATAACAGAAAAATAAGGGCTTTGAATAACAGAAAAATAAGGTCACAGCAGACCTTGAAGGTTTGTGAATAACAGAAAAACAGGGTTTCTGAATAACAGAAAAATAAGGTAACAACAGACCTTGAATAACAGAAAAATAAGGTAACAACAGACCTTGAATAACAGAAAAATAAGGTAACAACAGACCTTGAAGGTTTTGGAATAACAGAAAAATAAGAATGTTATCAGTGAACAACAGAGGACTTTGGAAGAACGCCCGGAGCAAAAAAGTTATTGTGACAAAGGTAAAAGAAAAGACATGTGTAGTTAAGGTAGCCAATCAAATGTTAGAATAGGTGTGTGAGTAATGTATGGTAAGCAATAAGCACTTATGTTGGGGTGATTGACAATTTTGTAGGGGGCTAAAAACGCAGCTTTCTGAATAATAAAGGGTCTTCTATCTTAACATCGGAGTCCGTGTCGTCAATCTCCTCAGCTGCTGACTACCAAAAAAGTTATACCCAGTTCGGCAGCTCTCCATATCCCATTTTCCTCTGTTTGGCTCCTCTCCATAATCTGGTTTTATAACAGACCATTCTTCTGTGTCACTCTCAACCCTCTTATGCTCATCTCGGTGCCTTCTCCCATACAGTTGTCAAAACACACCCTTCTGTGGATCATCTCTACTTTAATCCTCTTCACACGACTGTTTCTAAACTAGCCTACTAATCCTACCCCCATCACCATGAAAAACTCTATTCAATAAACAACACCTGCACTGGGCTTATTATGGCCTTGGGATATTCTGTTTCATTTGGAATGTAAGTTCCTGGGGGGCAGAAGAGGTGACAAAGACCCACTGATTCCTCTGGGACTCAAATATCCAGATACCAACAGGATTTCAATACCCAGGTATCTTTGATGGTCCAGACCTGTGCCCCCCTCTACGTACCACGCGGCGATATACTGAGGAGCAATTCCAATAAAGAATGGAATCGAAAGTCAGTACATCCTGTGGATGATAAAGAAGATAATTTAATAGGCAGTCAGATATATTTTACATATGCTGTTAATTTCTTTTCTTCCAAACAGAATATTACCTGGCATTTAATTTCCCTCAAGAATCCAGATGCTGTCAGGAAACGTCCTGATATTTTTGTTTAAAACTGAGAAGCATTTCAGGTGTCTCTTAATCCATTTTATTATGATTTCTCCAATGAAACTATCTCAAATATACAACCTTTCCGTTTACATCAGCACCTGAGTGCATTTTGCCAAGCAATGACAGGCTGTGCTGCATATCTATTCCCAGAAGAGCCTTCTGTGTTGCAATTCAATAATCACTGTTATTGCTGGATGCCAGCATCGAAAATAAGAAATGTGTGGTCAGAGCCTTAAAAATTTCTCACCACCTTTAACGAAATACCAGTTTTATTTTATTTTCACAGGCTTTTCTTATGCACGGGGATGAGGAAACAGCTCACGTTTCATAAAGATCATCTCCTTGGAGCACACTAATTGCCTGGGTTGTAGGAACTGCCTGCTGCAGTGGAGGAAGGAGCCCGCAAGAGGGCTCAGGGAAGCAGCCGGCATCCCTGGACCAGCATCCCTGGACCAGCATCCCTGGACCAGCATCCCTGGGAAGATGCTGGGCAGGGCGAAGCGGGGCCCGGAGGGAAAGCTCATCTGTTCAATCACATTCACTGCACTCCTTCAAACATCTCATATAGGGCAAGCAAATAAATGAGCGGCCCAAACAACATCAGCCTTTATTACCGGGGATAGGAGCATACATGTATTTTTAATCTTTTGCCTGGGTATTTCTTACGAACTTTATTAATAACGGGGAATGCTGCCGTACGATAATATACGATAGCACTTAAAGCTTATGAAGCTCCCTTTCAGTTTTATAGTATTGGCACAGCAGGCTCTGCTGAGCACCACATGAGCACATTTATAAAAAGCTTATTACAGCATGTAGCACAAGAGTTGTTTTTTTTATTTTTTTTTTTTTACTGGGAAACCAGCACTACTAAATACGATTATTTCCTTTAGTAGGGCAGCGTAAACAACTCTGTCATTTGTTTTCATAAAGTCATCAGTGCCACCGCATACAAACCAGCGCCGACTGACAAAGCCAAGGAATCCACTAGACACTGTGCAACGCATTTAAAACCACCGGTGAAGCATGCTTATGTTGCATAATTTTCCACCAAAAAACTTAATTGATTCCATTAGGTTTTTTTTTTTTTTTTTTTTTTTATTATTATTATTGTACGGTTTTGCTGTCAGATGAAAACAGAATCACAAAGCAAGCCACAATATTTTGACCAAGTGTATATATATGTATGCATATAAGCAAAACAGGCTGCCAAAAATACATTTTAGGTGACATGCAATACTTTTTCCACTATCTAATCTATTACAAGTCAGCCTGCTAGGAAAAAATATCCTTGCTTTATTTACAGAAGTGATGTTTTTACAGATTTTGAAGGTATTTGGTGCTCTCTGCAGAATTTAATATGGGAGATTATAAATGAAATTCAGTTATACACCGTTTCTTTGTATTTGCAAGCTAGATCACATCAGTACCTCCAGCAGAGCAGTGGGCTGTGCAGTTGCCTTAGAGAAATGTTACCCCAAAGTCCAGGGACAGTTTACATGTTATCACTGTATTTCTTCATTATTGACAGTTTAAATAAAGAAAAGTCCTTAATATATTTTAGCCATTCATATGGATTTATCTGAATGGACTTCAGACTTTCAGTGAGTTGGAAGAACTTCAAAAAGACAAATATTTTAGCAAATCTGAATTTGGGGTTCAGGAAGAAAAAAAGGTCTTAGTAAGGAAGGGAATAAATCTTGAGAACTATGAGATCAGTAAGGAAAATCTGGAGTGGGGAATGCAAAATACTCATTATGATGGGGAATGTGAAGGATATTGTGCTAAATAGCTGATTTATTTTGGAATGGCTGGTAAATGTGTAATATGAGTAACATTTTTACGGGGTTGAAATTTGCTTTAAAATTCTGCAGTTTCTCCTAGGTAAACAAAGGAAACAATTTCTGCCTAATTTCAGTTATCAAAAAAAATCAAGCTATCTACTCTAAGCTACTCACTAGGGCACTTGATGTGAGTTGAATGAAAGAAGCCTTTCTGGAGAACAGTCCATCCTGCCTGCTCCACTCTCCTCTTTTAAAATGGGATGAATTATGTTCTGAAGATGCTACTCTTCCGTTGTTTGCTACGGAAAAATATCTGGATGCCCAGCTTGGATGGGTTGCTGTACTTCAAAACAGCTAAAGTTAGGTGGTATCAGTCCCACCCAAAACTACTTTTCTCTGCCCTCACCTGCGGTGATTTATTTCTATTCATAAAGTTTATCCTGCAAAACAAGAGTTTAGGGTGATATAACCACAGAAATCCCTAAGTGAACTGTTCAGAACATATTGAGAAATTTATTTCCCAAGTTACCGTTTTATGAAGAGAAAGGCCGTGTCACGATAGCTCCCAACTAATGAAATCTGTGTTAAAATTTCAGGTTTTAGGCAGGGAAGGGAACGATGCTGATGACAATCTAACCTGATGTGTGCAGCACTGGCCGCTCAATGTGCGCGGTGATTTCCCCTCTCAAAAATTGGAACCCAACCTATAGAATATTTTGTACCACAGTGGGATATCTTGATTTAAAAACCCCAGGGCTGAGCCGCAGCTGCTGGTAACTTCTCTTAAGCCCAGGAAATTTATGGAGCTGTGAGAAGCCACGCTGTTGAAGGGGGATACCTGCTAGCTCTTGGGCGACCAGCGACCTGGCTGCCAAGTGTTAATTCATTTCTAGCGGGTGTCTGCATCTCTGCAGGACACAAACTCCGCAGCGACAGACAGCCCTGCACGAAGCTGTTTGACTTTTTGTGTCTGGGTAGGATTTGGCTCAAGATTCGGAGACCTTTCAGATGTCTCCATATGCACAGGGCACCTGAACCCTGAAGACAGGCGAGGGTTTTCTGTTTGATACCCGCTGGAAGCAGGAGTGGATGAGGTTCTGAACCGGTGATCATTTCTCAGCCGACTTGCTCTCCTCGCGCTGTTGATGGTAGGACTTTTTTCAGCCGCTTCCACGGGGGGTGCTTGAAAGCCCTCTGAAACGTTCTACACCGTCAAGAGATGTCTGCGTGGAGCTTGAAGGTACGACAGGAGACGTTTGTGAGACCAGAGCCAACCTGGAGGAGCACCCACAGCGCGGGCGATGGGCCCCAGGGCGTCACCGAGGGCGCTACGTGCCGGCAGCGAAACCAAGCCCCGCGTCGACCAGCTCTTCAGGGACTGTCGCAAGAGCTCAGAACCCGAGTCCCAAGCGGGCAGACACCAAAATGCAGGTGTCCACATCACCTCGGCTTGTGCAAACACTGGTTATAAAGATGCACTTTGAAGCAGGAACCAAGGGTTATACCTGCCAGGAAGAAAACGTGCGGATAGCGTGCTTGTTGCATTAATTAGCACCTTTTTTTTTTTTTTTTTTTTTTCCCCCGCAATTGCTACAGTGCAATAGAAAAATAAAGCAGAACCTGCGTGAAGAGGCTGCTTGTATCCTGCATTTTCCCCTTCTCCCTGGCGCGTACGGTAGACTCTATTAAATTGCCCATTGTTTTTGACATCCCTCTGTAAATCCCAAATCACTACATTATTCTGAGGTACAGTGCATGATGGCTCTTCTACGTCAGTTCCATTTTTAGTATAATTTATGTAGCTTAATCTGTATCTAAATGCTCATCTAGATCCCAAATGGAAGGCAGATGAATGACTGATTAATCTCCCTGCCTCTCTCTAGAAACTGTCTCATGTAGATTGCTTTACTATATTATCATCTTCGCTGTCCTTCTGGGGTGCCGGATACAGCTGTTGATACAGGAATTCAGGTCTCTTGTTTCCAAAAAGAATTGTGGCACTTCAAGTCTCCAGTTCCCTTGATTGAAAACCCCTTAGAACCAGCTCATGTCTTTTTGCTAAAATTGGGGGACCAGTGGGTTTGTTCCGATGAAAACACATGCTTTTTCAGTGGTCTCGTTACCTGACCAGTCACAAAATGTGATTGCAATGAAGCAATCATCATAAGGTCAGTGTGATGTCATGTCGGCACCAGTCCTAAGCTCCATTATTTGACATTTTTATCAATAATGAACAACATGGAAAAAGATTTCCAACTGCTAGCAGTTGACCCAAAAACTGCAGAGGCAGTAGTGACCAAGATGGGGGATCAGAACAAGTCTATAATAATAATTGAAATGGCGCTAAGGGCTAAGCATAGAACACAATCTCCTTTGTATCTGCCATCATCGTCTATGTATTTCTGTATGTTGGCAATAAATTCCTGAGGAGCCCTCGGGAGGCACAGCAGTGTACCTCTAAGGCTGGAAGGTCTAATACTGCCCCTGGATAGATGAGTGCAAAACCAAGCAGGAACGGGGAAACCACGTTACACCCGCGCTTGCTTTGGTGTGACCGGTACCAGAGTGCTGTACTCATTATTTACACCTTCATCAAAGTGAAGAAAAAAAAAAATAAATCAGGAAATACGTCATTTGAAAACCTAGAGAGGGCACAGGGAAGTGCAATGACAATACTTAAAGAATTAGAAAACATACTTCACCGTGATGAACTCCCAGAGTCCTGTTTATATTGTCTTGAGGGGTGACCACAGGTTACAGCAGTTAAATCTGGATAAAAAAAACTGGATAAAAGAAATCTTTTCGTTTTAGGAAAGGCAGGCTAAGATATAATGGGTGGGAGCTGGAGCTAACCTAAAAATAAGGCGCATATTTTAAACAGTAATCAAGCACTGAATAATCCACTAAAGCCTGTGGAGGGATCTTCTTTCGCTGCACGTTTTCAGATCAAAAGATTGCTTTTCCAGGAGATGCACACTGCAGCACAAACCTGCCTTCGTAATCAGCCTGTTACCACGAGGTGGTTACACAGGGCTTTAGTGGTTTGAAGATACAGCAAATTCTGCTACATGGCAAAAACACATCTATCCTAAACCACAGACTAGCAAATTTAACTCTGAAGGAAAGGATTATGTACAGTAAATGTCAGGTCTTGGAAAAAATTGTGTACATTTTGAGCAAGTTCCTAGGACTGGATGACTAGGAATTTGTGTAGAGCCCTGGCTGAAAGGACACAGGTAAGCCCACCCCCTTTTTTCCTGCTCTCTTTCCCTCGTCCCTCTTTTTCCTGCTTCACACGGGTTCCTTGAAATTTTTTAGCACATGCAGTAACATTGCTGTGCTGGGAATACTGTGATTATTACATGGGAACGCAAGCACTGTGTAGGTGCCTAAATCTAGGCTTTTTTTCTGATATACTTCTTGATTCAATCTATGTGTTGGTACAAATAAAGTGTGTTTCAGTGTGAAGCACAGTGCACTATAAACAAAAAGATAATCATGTTATGCTGCTTGGTTGGACAGGCAAATCCATACCAAGAGAACTTTTAAAAGTTAGTGTGATTTTCAGACTCTCCCACCCAGACCCCAACCCGTGGAACGAGAAAAGCGGACAGCCCACACTTTCCTGAAATGTAAGCAGGATTTATCTAATTTACAAAGTATTCTCTTTCCACGGAGCCAAGAAGCACTAAGCACTTTGGAAAATCAGCAGTTTTTATTTAAGTGGCATGATGGCTTATTACTATTTAATACTTTGGATCCAGTTACGAAGCAGGGCCAGTGTGTGAAGTGCCCTACAAACACAGAATGAAAGACTGTTTCCTGACCATAATAGCTGTAATCGAAATGCATCAACAGCCCCGCTATCTGTCACTGCTCTAACCGCTGTTTTGGAGTCCCGCCGCCGATCTTTTCGTGCCCTGCTCTGCCGTTATCAGCCTCACCAATGAAGCAGCTGAATGCAGTGGATGACAAAGCAATTTTTTCCCCATAAGACTTAACGTACCCGCAAGGACACCTGTGATTTAAGAGATACACATAACATCAATACAGAGGGAGAGCAGGTATGGTGTGGAGGATCACTGGGATCGTTTGACGGGACACAACACTGTTTTTTCAGCAGCCGGTGTGTCACAGCACATCAGGGCTCTGGAAGAGCTCAGCCACTTCATCCGTGAGGCTGAACAGCCAAACATTAGTCTGTTTTTCTGCCCTTCACCTCTGAGTGACCTCGATTCACACAAGGAAGACGGCAGTGAAAATGTAACCCTTCACAAAGAGGCAGCGAGGATGCTCAAGGTTCAGGCTGGGCAGTCCGGCTCACAGGCAGATACATTAACTCTTACAGGAAAATTGCATTGCCATCCATCGTGACATTAAGTGATGAGTTTTTTAGAAGCACATTCTTGGCAGAGTGGAGCAAGTACAGATAAATATGGTGAAACAGAAGAAATGGCTGGTATAAAACCAGGGGACATCATCATCTCTAGTGGCTTCTTACCAAGTAAGAAAGAGCTGGGAAATGTCAGCGTGACTAGAAATGAGAGAAAAGCTAATTAGGTGAACATGTTTTAAATGAAATTCACACTTTGTTATCAAGCATTTCTGAACCAACTTGTATTGTCAAAATACCACATAGTTATTTATGATACGCATCTCTGTTTTCGCTTTTTCTTTTTAATGGATTTTCTTCAGGTTCTCGCAAGTTTTTGGAGGTCACCTGAGGTCCTCTCCAGTACTGATCTCAGTGATTCTAACTATCAAAATTTAACAAAACTTGAAAAATGGACTGCAATCTTGGGACTACTCATGCTGAAAGAGGATGCTGTTTGCCTTTCAAACACAGGAACGGTGAATCTGAAAACAGAGATGGGACAGCTTGCCTCTCAGGTTCCGATCTGAATTTTTAATTTTAAAGAAAGCCTGACTCCTGAAACATGAATTTCCTGCTTCTCTCTATTTTTTTTAGGAGCATCTGGGAATTGTCAACATTGCCGTAAATATCCCACTTCTTAATAAATATGAATTCTATGTCTCCAGACTATCACATCCATGTAAAATCTAGATTGATTATGAGCTGAATGGAACTGCATTTGCCATAGACCACTTTTTGAGAGTTACCTGGCCTTCCTCTTGCAGACTAGGCATCGGTCTGTCATTTTATCTTCACTCCTATTCAGCCAACAACCCAACTTTTTCAAAACCCTCCAGATTAATTTTGCATTTAATTACTATCACGTCCTCTCTCTATAACTTTGCTACTTCTTACTTGTGCACTATCTTTTCTCATACTCTGAAATTCAGAGTGCAAGACCCCTGCTTAGTTCACAAACTTCCTTTGCAAGGTTTTGCAGAAATGTCTCTTCTATTGACCATGAGTATATGCACAGAATGAGCTTCAGTTGTTTGAAAAACATAACACCATTGTTCTAGCTTCTGTAAATCTCTGTTAGCAACCTGGTGGTGTTATATGTTCAATATGCATCATATTACCCCCCCAATATGGTGAATATTTTTCACAGGCACTTATACTCTGTTCACATTTTGTTTCAATATTTTTATTGCAAACGTATGTGCAGGCACTGGTCTCTGGAGATGTATGCTATTTAAAGCTTCTTCATTCAGAGTACTCTGCAAGACTGGCATGACACAGTACACTGGCTAAACATAACGTAGGAGAGTGCGGCACAGATCAACAACCAGAAAACTCTGGAGGAAAAAAAAAATATTGTACAATAAAGACAATTACTGCATACAAGTCTGTGCTGCATGTTTTGCTGAGTATGTTTGCACAACCCTTCCCTCCCTCAACTGAGAGCATGGACAGCAAGCCAGGGGGTGGATGTGACATACATACATACCCCAAGAGGGGCATGCATACAAAAACCCCTCCTGCGGCAGAGCCGGTGCAAAAAGAGACTGGGTACAACGGCGCTGGGGGGGCTCCAGGGCATGGAGCACACCACACGGCTCGGAGAGTAAGGCTGGGGAGAAAGCTCAGTAAGTCAGAGCTCAAGGAAGGGGGGAAACTACGGAGAGGAAAAAGGGGAACGAGCCTGACCTCAGGGGACGGCTGCTCCCCCTCGGAGCCAAGGGGGCAGGGGGTGCCGCCTCCAGGGCACGCACCCCGGCGTGTGAGGGCCGCGGCTGCGCTCCCCAATGGCGGGAGGGAGAAAAGGGCCGGCGCTCCGCTCCCGCCCTTATCGGCCCGCCTTCCCCCCCCCCCCCCCCCGCCCCCGCGCCGCGACTGCCCTCAGGGGTGATGCCGGCAGCGTCGCGGCACCTCCTCCTCCTCCTCCGCCCGCTCCGCAGCTCCACCTTCAGGATGGGCGACCCGGCCTCCCGCCTGCCGCCGAAGAAAGAAGCGTTCCCCGGCCGCAGCCAGCGCATCCCGGTGGCAGGTAGGGACGACACCACCCGCCGCCCCCACCCTTCTTCTTCTTCGCCGCCGCCGCCGCCTCCCTCAGCCCCGCGGCGGGAAGGGAAGCGGCGCGTCCCTGAGGGAAGTGGCGGCGCCTGCGCGCATGCGCACAGCCCGCCCACCCGGGGCGCTGGCCGCTGCGGCGCCTGCGCGCCGGTCTGGGGCGGGACGTGTGTGTGTGGGGGGGAGAAGTAACATGGCGGCCCCCCAGTCGGGCGAGAGGCAGGAGGGTGCGTTGGGAGCGCGGTTGTTTCGTGATTTAGCGGCACGGTGACGTTTCCTGTTGCACCCTTGTCGTAAGAATAGGAATTAATCGATTGCCGGAGCAGCCAGCAAGCACATGCCTGGTTTTCTCTTGGCCATATAGGAGTTTTCTGTTTAATTTTTAGGGCCATACTAGTCCTATTCAGGGTTTTAAACAGATTTACCTAGCCCTTTCTCTGTTAATACCTAAAAGTAATACCTCAGCATGGTGTGGATGTCCTAACCCTCATTTCTGCAAAGTGTTTTTAAGTTCTTCGTAATTCTTTCATGGAACCATGGACTGTTTTGGGTGGGAAGGGACCTTAAAGACCATCTAGTTCCACCCCCCTGCCCCGGGCAGGGCCCCCTTCCCCCAGCCCAGGGGGCTCCCAGCCCCGTCCAACCTGGCCTTGAACCCTTCCAGGGAGGGGGCAGCCACAGCTGCTCTGGGCACCCTGGGCCAGCGCCTCACCCCCCGCACAGGGAAGAATCTTTCCAGTACTACTCCTTTTGTTTTGAGTAAATGGGTGCTGTCAGGTAAGCAAAGTAGCAACCTAGAATTAAGCAATTTTGCCATCTGTCAGCCCTCCTAGGAACTGAAAACATTGCAAGATGACTGTCATCACTTAGGAATTATAGTGGCACCTAGATGCTCTCACATGCATGATCCTTCTCCCATTGTACAAGTTGGTTATTTATATGTATCTTTGCTCCAGGTACCTAAGGTCCCTAACAAAGTCTGTGTACTTAAATATATATTTAAACATGTAAGGTACATAAATGCTGGTTGGAGAATAGTAAATGGATGATGTCATAAGCTCAGTGGAAGAAGTGTTTGAGAACATAATAAAATATTGTGTTGTATAGATATTTGGTAAAATGCTGAAGGTAGCAAGAATGTAGTGGTGAAATTGAAGATACCAGGAAGAGTATTATGTCTGATGTGGAGAAGGTAGACTCAAAGGAGGGGTGCAGAGATGGGCTTGATGTCCTTAGTGCAATGAACTCTAGAGACTATACGGAGAGTAGCACATTGTCTGGATTAAAGTGGCACCTTCGTATTGCTGGTGGATAAAAGCCTGGACAGAAGATATGCTAGGCCCATTTTATGCTTTGTAAAGCATAAATATACATAAATATATATAGATTAAATAATTTTTTGCTGCTGTATAAAAAATGGCCTCATAAGGCCAAACAGGAGATTTTTTGGATGTTTTTATTCTATGACTAAACTTAATATTATGTACTTCATAACATCATGGAACTCCAGTGAGTTGCAAAAGTTAAAATTTTTAAGATGTAAGCTACTTTCAGAAAAGAATGGCAATTAAAATTTTAACATTGTCTAACATTTATTTAGTAACATTTCTTTGTTTAAATTGATCTTAGATTGCAGTATCAGAGGAGTGTTGGTTGGAAGGGCTCTCCAGTCCAGTCCAGTCCCTGTGACAGTGCTGTGCTGCCTTCTAGTCAGAGAGTTTTTTCTCGAGTGCATCGTGAACCTCTTACGGCAGAGTTGGTAGCTGCTGGCCTTTCTGATACTGTCTGGTGCTGCTGAGCAGGGTTTGGCTGAGTTCTCATTCTCACTCTATTCAGCTGCTGTATGATAGCCCCTTATTTTACCCTTCAGCAGCTGAAAAACACCCAGCCTCTGTCAGCTCTCTAGGTTTGTGTGCTGTAGACTGCTGACCAACTTGACCACTGACCTCACAGACCCTTGCCATTTTATTAATGTCTCTCTTGAACTGAGGACCCAGAACTGGACATGGTATTCCAGGTGAATTCTTACCACTACAGCATAGAGGAGAGGGTTTTTTCCTTACTCTGCTGTCCACAGTCCTTGCAATACAGCCCAGTACATAGTTTGCTTCATTTGCAATGAGAGCACATTGCTAGCTTATATTTAACCTGGCATCCAGCATAATTACAGGTCCTTTCCAGCTGGTCTGAGATTATCCTGCAGTGGTCCAGGATTTGCACTTCTCCTTGTTGACCTTCATGAGGTTTCTGTTGGTATAGACCTGAAATTTTTCAAGGTCTCATTGGACTGAAGCTCTGATGCTTGGCTTCTTCAGTCTCACTCTCTGTTTAGCGCTGCCCTCAATTTTGCCGAGCATGTTTTCTGTCACATCATTCATGTTATTGTTTAAGATATTGAATGATACTGGCTTCAGCATCAGCCCCTAGGGTAACCTGCTACACACCAGACATCAAGTTATTGATCACTGCCTTGTGAGTCTGCTGGTTCTGCCAATTTTGGATGTGTCTCGTACCTAGCAATATGTTCTTCAGCCAGTAGTTTCTCAGCTTCCAAGTGGAAATGCTCTAAGTGATGGTGTCAGAAGCCCTGCTAAAGTCAACATGTATTACATCTACTGCTTTGCCCTCATCTGCATAGCCAGTCATTTAATCATAAAAGGCAACCCAGCTGGTCAAGCATGATTTGCCTTTGCTAAATATGTTGACTATTCCTGATTACTTTCCCGTTCTCTTTGTGTTTGCACAAAATCAGTTCTGAGGACATACTTCATGATCTTGCCTGGAACTGAGCTGAGGCTGATCTGTCTACAGTTCCTCAATCCTCTGTTTACCTTCCTTAAAAATGACTGTTACTATAGCTCATTTATAGGCATCAGAGATCTCCCTCAGTGACCGGGATTTTTCTAGATATCATTCTATGTAAATCTCTCACAGTGTTATGATGATTACACCAGTGAGCTTCCTCCACAGCCCTGGAAAAACCCCACGTGGCTCCTCGAACATTTAACTTATTTAAGTATCCATAACATATTTTTCCCGACATTGCTGCTTTTCTTTCTGACTGTGCCAGTGCACTCAGAGGTTTTGGAGCAGTCTTCGTTTCTGAAGACTTCAGCAAAAGAGGTTTTGAGTACTTTAGTCTTTTCTGTACTACTTCTACACTGTCTTCTGTATTCATGAATACACCCAGATTTTCTCTATGGTTCTTTTTAGTCTTGTCATTTTTGTGGAATAGTTTCTTATTGCTGTTTGCATCCCTATCTAGTTTTCTCCAGCTTTGGCCTTTCTGATTTTGTGCCTAAATTCCTAGGCAAGGCATTTTATATACCCCCTTTGTTGCTTGATACTGTTTCTACTTCTTGTATGCTCTCTTTTTGCATTTTAGGTCATTAAGCAGCTCTGTGTTTCTGATGAAGTTCACAGTTTTTCTGCATATTTTGTTCGTTAACACTCTCAGAAAGTTTTGGTCAAAATTCAGACTGCCCTGAGGGGTGTTTTTTCCCTTTGACAGCTTCTCAGGGGCTTCTATCTAGAAATTCCCTAAATAAGCCAGAGTTTGAGCTCTGAAAATCCAAAATGCTAAATCTGCTGTTTACCTTTCTGTCTTTCCTTTGGATCCTGAACTCCATCATCTTGTGGTCACTGCAGCTCTCTGCCATCTACTGCTGCGACACTGCGCTTTTTTCCCTGCTCTGAACAGCCAGTCAGCAACCAACCATTATCCCTGGTGTTCCCTCTGAAACTTTTGGTGTGAAATTGTCACTAGTGCAGCTCCCTGAATTGCTTGAACCATTTGATGTTACCCTCCCAGCAGACATCTGGGAACTGAAATCTCTCAGGGCGACCAGAGCCTGCAGACTGGAGACTTCTGCTAGCTCTTTGTGGAGAGGAAAGCCTCGTCCACGTACTTCCTCTTGGTCAGGAGCTCTGTAGCAGACCCCAGACCACACCACCTCCAGTCTCTCCCCTCTGATCTTGACTCAGAGACTCTCAGCTGATGTGACTTAAATTCCACACTGGAGCTCTCTGCTGTCAAGGTGTTTGTTTCTGTGGAATGCAGCTCCCCATCCTAGTCTTTGCTAATCTTTCCTATGTACCTTGTTCCCATCCATGTCACTTCTCAACTTGTGTGTGCTGTGCCAGCTCTGGTTCTGATCACATCATAGGTCTGTGACCACACTTGGACATCTGAGTCTTCTTCTTTGTGAACCAAACCTTGCCTTAGTGTGCAGACATTTGAGGAAAACATCTGCCAGACCTTTCTTTTAAGCAGTAACTAGCACTGATCCTAATCCAGTGACCCGAGGTGTTCGTCCAGTTCATCTTCAGTGGTGTTGAGGGCCTCTAACTGTTTCCTAATGTCACATACCACTTAGATGAGGGAGACAAGTGACTTAGATTCATAAATCCCCTAGGTGAAGAGCTGCAGAACATTTAGCTTCTCTGTGTGGTCTCTTTGAAGATCCTGTTGATCTGCTCCTCATCCCTGATGCGACACAGGGTGCTCACTTCTCGCAGCTCCTTCCCTTGCGCTGCAGCGATTCGGTGGCCAGAGCCACCTCTCCAAGGTGAGGCTGCTGTGATCCCCACGCAGGAGCACCAGGCTCTCCCCACAGCCCGAGACCACTCTTGGGAGTTCAGGCTGGAGGGAGGTTCCCAAACTACCAGAGGTGTTTGTGCTTTCTGGGTGCGAGATGGGCAGGAATGCACTCTGCCCCTCGCTGAGATTTGTTGGTTGGCAAGGAACCTCTCGTGCTGACGGTTCTTGATCGCCATTCACAAACCTTGTGAGTACGGATCGATTCAGACAGCTCCCTCCTTTGCTGCAGACCGAAAAGAAGAAGACACAACTTCAGCTTGAAAGTTGCAGTTAATCTATTCTTGTGAAAAGCTAAATTACATTTCTATTTCTCCATAATTTGCTGACCACAGGATTATGTGAGATTTGACCTTGTCCGCATAACTATTTTTTTTTTT